GTTTTTTTTTTTGATTTTTTTTTTTTTTTTTTTTTTTTTCTTGAATGCAGTAAGTAATGATATTTGCTTTGCTTACCATAGTAACGTTGCAAACTTTTGTCCCTGAATGATTTTGTGGTCAACGAACCAAAACAACAAAAGAGGAGAAAAAGAAAAGTGGTGGGGGTGAGGTGTTGGGTTTCTTTCTTAGATGTTTCCTTTGGTTTCATTTTGTATGGTTCCGTGCTCCATGATTATGCAGTATTGTTTAATTATGCGGCTAAAAATTTCAGCTTAGTGAGCCGAGGATTGTGTTTGTTGTCCTCTCCATTATGTTCAATGGAGGAAATTAGATTTGTCCAAAACGAAACAATATAATGAGGATTTACATGTTTCTATTTAATTCTTGAGATGTATTTGCCATTTTGTTTGCTCTATACACGTCCTAGATTTGTTGAAGTTTTGTGCAAATTGAAAACTGACCTTTGTTTCTAGGTGTAACTAAGTAGAATGAAAATCTTGGCTCCTAAATTAAGTTTTTATTTTTAATTTTATTTTATGGCCTTTTTACCCTGATGATTATAAAAACTTACTTCACAAGGACTTTACTATTCTCTTGTATATAAGTCACATTTCTACTTGTGACTTACTTCACAAGGGCTATATTATCCTCCCATACAAGTCGTCCTATCATGTGTATGAACATCGATATTGAGTAGTTTTGTGCAACTAGTGACACAAGTATCCAGCAACAAAAGGGCACGACTATAGCAAGCTGCTTAGAAATGAAATTTCATCAACGTTTTGAGTTGCTTGTCCTGGATTCTCTCGTTGCATCACTTTAACATGTTCCTTCTTTCAGGTTCCATCGAGCTTGTTCAAAAGTTGCTGATCATCATTCTTTTGGAGGAAAGGTTTGAAAAAGGGTAGTTCACCTTTCTACATTCTTTTGAAGCCAAACATGGTAAGTAGAGTTTTAACCATCGTCAAGGTTTCAGCAACAAGTCTACAATAGTAGGTCATGCCCATAAATTTGGGTCGCACATCTTATAGAAACATTCATCTTGAGTTTGACGTGTACATTACACGTCTATTCATTCTTTCAACCACATATTGAAGTCACGAAGTCTAGTCTCAAGGATAAAATGAGTAGAAGAAATATATTGTTCATACTTTACAAGTGTAAAATTTTGTCTCGTGTATAGTATACTTTTCCAAGATTCACTTCTTATGCTGCTTAATGAAAAAGGGCAATTTACCTTTCAATCCAATCGGACGTGTAAATGTTATAGCATTACAAATTTAAGCTTTGTGGTTGCTTCCACTTTTAAGGTACTAGAGGAGCATTTCCGTGAAAACAAATACTTCTTATGAACTTAACAAGCTCATTCACGTGGATGATAATGATGGCCTGGATTTGGCTGAGGTCAACTTTATGTTTCTCGTGTGGGGTGGTGAACTGGCTTTTCTAGCTCATTGGAGCAAGGTTGTACGTTCCAGGATCTTCTAAGTTCTGTTTTCAATTTCTTGTTTGTTTTCTAGTGTCTCCGCGGCCATGTTCATCATGTTCTGCATGCTATCTAATAATAGGCGCATTGTAAATTTGTAATCAACTGCTTCCAAATAACCCTTTCTTTTCACAGTTTGCCAGACGGCACCTAATATAAATAGTGGATGGCCTTTAAGCAAGCAAGCACCCAAAAAAAAAAAAAAAAATACGCGCACACACATCACTGACACACACACACAAAAGAAAGAAAGAAAGAAAAAGGTATTTTAGCACCTGTGCCCTATTCTACTTGTAGTTTGTTCTTAAATTTATAAAATGATAGCAATTAACTCTGCAGAAATTAAATTTTGGATAGAATTACAAATTTTTATTTTTATAGCACTTGTGTTTGCCCATGAACTTCTAGTGTGGTAATTTAGTCCCTTTTTTTTTTTTTTTTTGGTGTAATTCAGTCCTTGAATTAGTCATATCATTCCTTAAAATTCATCTTTCTTTAACACTTACAAAATTCGAAATTTTTTTTTTCTTTTTTGGAAATTTCCATCCATAAAGGGTCTCTTTGTATTCTCCCTACCTCTTCTAGGGCTTCCTTTCTTCCTTGTGTTTCCAAGTGCCGCCTCAACAGGGAGGTTTGGCGCTTAGTCTTTTCCCCCGTGGTGGTTTTGGCCTCTGTGGGGCGATGCATTTGTGCTTGACTATGTCCTCCATGGTCGACGATGGTGGGTGGTTGCAGGTAGTTCTTGCTCGGAGGCTTGTCTTTCTCTCCGGTCTTCTTTTGCTTGCCGAAAGTGATGCAGTTCTGTCGCCTTTTCTGGGCGGCGGTTGTCTTGTCAATGGAGTCCTTGTTGGTGTCTCTTGGGTTTACTCATTTGTTTTAGTTTTGTGTTTGTTAATAAATACAGTGATGTTTGTCGTTCAAGTTTGACTGTCTCTTTGTTTTTCCAGCTTTCCCTTGTAATTTCGGAGGTGGTCTCCCCACGTTTTAGATCCTTGTTTTGTATTTTTGTGGTGGCCTGCTACATTGTCGTGACTGTTTCTGTCAATGTATCCTATCCATTGTACGTTATTTGTTTGTACTGGTGGAATCGGTACTTGTCCAGGGTTAATCTTGTATTGTAGGGTTATTCACATTGTAATTTCTTTTTTTTTTAATGAAATATTTTCCTTTCAAAAAAAAAAATTTGGGGACTAAACTATTAATAAAGATGTTGATTGTTGAGGAACAAAAATGTAAAACCCAATAGTTGAGGGGTAAAATGCTAAAACAAAAACACACACACACACACACACACACACATATATATATATATATATATATGCACAGTTGATTGCCAAACGCATAAAAGAGTCTTAACGACATGCATTAAATAACCCCACAGAACTCTCCCAACAGTAGGGTTATTGGCAACAAACACCCTACAAATATACTCGTTATTTTTGTGACTTTCAAAAGTGTCATCCGCCCTCCAGCCTCCAGGTTGTTTACGCAATTTTTGTTAAAACCAATCAGTCACTTTCATAGTTCGTACAGAATGCGGATGTTCGACTTAATAAAATTCCAAAAAGGTTTTTCTTTTTATTTTTTTTCAGGTGAAAAGTCCATAGAAATTCCATAAATAGAACCTGGGTTGTACCTAGAAAGCAATTATCTATGGATTGGAATAGGGATGGCAATTGCAAGTGGCATAATAACCAACTCTTGAAGCTTGATTAGTTAGCGACCACGTGGAGTCCACTCCATTGCAACAACTTGCGTTCCAATCATCTTAAATGGCCAATAATTATTTACTTGCAAAAACTCCAATAGTTTCCCCCTCCCACGAAGCACGTTTTTTTTTTTTTTTTTTTTTTCTTTTTTTGAATCTAATAAAGCGCACGTTACCACCAACTTAAGACGTTTATTCAGCAAAAAAAAAAAAAAAAAAAAAAAAATTAAGACGCAATGCTAGGACAAACGATTATTAAATTATTCTATGAACAATGCTAGGATAATTTAGACATATAATGTACTCTTATTAATCATACTGAAATATAGAGAAAAAGCTGAGAGTATTTTCCAAATGGCTAAAATTAAAACCATTATAATAATTACTACATAATCATGACACATTAATCATTTCCAAAAATATTCTTAAAAAAATATTGTATCTGAATTCCACCTTTATAAGGGTTTTTTTTTTTTTTTTGGCTGAATAACTCCACTTTTATAAGCAATATGTGAATGTCATGTATGTCGCCTATTTTCTATAAAATTAGCACGTGCCCTAAACATTTTTTATAAACTCTCCTCTATTAATTCAAGCTGTTCTTCGTACAGAGCTTGATAAATATTATAAAGTTAAAATATAAAGCCATTTTCCTTATAAAAAAAATGTATATTCCATCTCATTTCAATAACAATGAACAAAACATAATGACCCTTAAAAAATGGGAAGCTTTCCCATTCTAATTCCATTCAAGAAACCAAGTGACATGTCCCATAATACTTGGTCACTTTTATTTTATTTCTTTTTCCAATTACAAGCAAAAGCCTATTACCATTTTTTTTTAAGGAAAAATGAGAAAATACCTATAAGAATGCATGAGTATTGAATTTTTACCTTTTACACCTAATTATACTCTTTAGTCAAAAGATATTAATTAAGAATAAAAGGTAAAAATACATTTGAATTGACTAATTTTTTCTCTTTTTTTATTCTCTTTTTTTTAAGCCCTTTACGTTTTTAACTGTACAATCTGGCATGACAGTTAGACACATGCATGCGGAATTTCATGAGCTTACAAAACCTACCCTTCTTTATTCAAACAAAGCCACATTGAATAATATAAAAATTGAAAAAAATAATAATATGAAGAATAAGAAAAGACTTCAAAGGTTGAAGAAAGCGAAAAGTCTATTACGGTACAAGATGGTGAGTAGCTAGGAACGTGTGCGAAAATAGTTCAACAACTTTTCGTCTATTAGTAGTACTCGTCTACCTTCATCTAATCACAAATAATATCTCTCTCTCTCTATATATATAAGAGAGAAGAGGATATTCAATTCATTAAAATATACAAAGCAGAAGAACCCCACCCAAAAAAACAAAAACAAAAAAACATTTAAGGAACAACAAGCGAAAAAAGCCTGAATGGATTGCGAAAAGCCTGCCGTTTGTGTTCTTGATGCATCAACTTACGTGGGATTTTGGATCCTCAAACGATTGTTGAGCAGAGGCTATTCAGTTCATGCTGCCATTCACAGGAATATTGGTTAGTACTTCAAAGTTTTTCTTTAAAAAAAAAAAAAGAAAGAAAAAGAATTTTAAGGACCCTTTTGCGGTTAGATTATGTTTTTGTGATTTGGGATTCTTAATTGTTCTTGTTATGTCACAGGAGCTGAGACAGAGATAGAGAAGAAGCTTAAGGAAATGGAAAAAGTGGAAGAAAGATTATCAGTTTTTGCTATTGATATTCTTGACTACCAGTCAATTCTTTTGGCTTTGAAGGGCTGTAACGGCTTGTTCTGCTGTCTAGAGAACCCAGATGGATATGATGTAAGTTTTTGTTTTCATTTTTTTTTTTTTGGGGATTAGAAACATGAATTGCTACTTATAATCTCTTCTGGGGTTGTTTTACTTTTTCACTATTTTTATTTTAATCTTTTGAATTGGGTATTAATTAATTAAATATTAACCAGCTTAATTGTGGGTTTGATTATTAATTAGGACAAACTGGTGAAATGGGAGGTAAGAGGAGCCATTAATGTGGTGGAGGCGTGTGCACAAACAGAGAGTGTAGAGAAAATTGTGTTCACTTCTTCTTTGACGGCTGCAATATGGAGGGAGAACATCTCTTCAGAGAAAGATATTGATGAGAGCTCATGGAGTAATCAGGAATTCTGCAGAAAACTCAAGGTTCGTCTTTGACTTTTTCTTTTTTTTTTTTTTTTTTTTTTTTTTTTTGTTTAGTGTTTTTTTCCCCCTTTTTAAAGCTATAATACATGTTAAGAAATAATACAATGATTTCATGATCTTTAAGAGGCAAGAATTACTGCTTTAATTTTATATTTATTTTTTAGCCTCGTCAAGTTAATTTTATTGTCAAACTACAATAATGTCTCAAAATGTTGAGATGTATATCCATGTCATGTTTCAATTATTAGATGAAAAAAGAGTACAAGCCATTAAAAAAACTATCGACTGCCAACTCATAAAATTTACAAAAAAAAAAAAAAGAAAAAGAAAAATCAAGGAATAATATCGTCTTAAAAATGATTGAGATTTCTAAGGAAAAAGTCTGGGGACCATTTTTTGTTTGTGGAAGATATTCTCTTTGTGTGTAGAAAATTGATATGCTACGCTTGACAAGGCAAAAAATGCTGTTTTTAGCTTTTATGAACGGGTGATCTTGAGATGGTCAAAAAGTGTTTTTATAAGTAGTGGTATTTGTAGTGTCTTATCACATGCTAGTGATCAAGATATATCTCATTTTCCCAGGAGGGGCGTGTTTGATATAAGGGAAATAAATTAAATGTATCTGAACTGATTAGATGAAACGTATCTTTTTAGGAAGTTTTTATTACCTTTTGTGGTGTTGGGTGAAAAGTTTTCGGTATCGTATCAGAAATATGATAACTTAAATTTTATGTTGAAATTTATAAACTTTAAACGTTAAGTTACAATAAATTTGTGAATTTTTAAAAAATATGATAATTTGTGAATTTTGAATTAAAATTTGTAAACTTTAAAGTTACGCTAGATTTCGTGAATGCATCAAAAAAAGAGTCTGTTTGGCAAAACTTTTACTTTTACTCGATAGAAGAAGATAAATAAAAGATTAATGGGTCAAAATAATTTTTAAAGTTTTTAATAAACAATAAAAGTGTTGAAGTGAAGTTTATAATACCTTAATAAAACTCTAGTAATAGTTTTAAAGTCTATTCAGAAATATTTTTTTAGAAGTCTTATTTAGTATTTTTTTGAAAAATCAAAGCACTTTTAATAGATCATCCAAACATTTTTAAAAACAATTTTTTGGAATTAAAAAGTCAAAAATATCTTTTAAAAAGTTCTCTTAAACAGACCCAAAAACTTATAGTTTAAATTCCATCAAAATAAAATAACACTTATTTAGTTTCACAGGGTCACACTCCCACTACTCATAAAGTGATGGGGCCCATATTATCTTATGAGTGGGTGGAGCTTTAACCCATAAGTAAAAAACATTTTTCAAATGAAAAATATGTTAAACTGATACAATCTAAAAAATAACCCTATTTGTAGATTATTTTCTCATAGACTAGTGTAGACTTCTATTGTAGTTGAGTTTTTCCAGAAAATCATGATTAAAACATTCACAATACAATGATCAACTCCAAAATGAATGATTTAGTCAGGAGGCATAGATTTCCTTTGATTTTTTTAATCTTGATCCATTTTTGGGAGAATATTTATCTTTTAAATTTAGAGCCTGTTTAGCTAGAGGATTCGTTCTCTGATTCAAATCATGGTTCATGGTTCGTTTCAATATTTTCTCTCAAAAAAATACACGTAAATTGAAAATAATTTTAATCTCATGGTTCTAATTCATGAACCAAACGTAATTTTAGAGTTGGGATTGATGCTTTATTATAGTTATCCTCTTTTCCAAGCTGGGTCAGCCCCTGCTTGTTTTTTTTCTTCTTTAATGGGGTTCCTATACAAAAATGATAGTTGTTGTTTTTTTGTGCGACATTCATAATGGTGGTGGTGACATCGTTGAAGCATCATCTCAATATTCATTGTATTTTTGCTAATCAATATGCATTGTATTTGATGTAGATGATGTAAGTGACTAATTAAACAAAGACAAGTCATAGTATTTTTGAAAAGTGTGGCTTATCTTTTTGGAATCTTCTCTATCTACAATAATTTAATAAAAAGGAAAAAACCAAATATCAATTAAGATAATAAAAAATATTATTTATATCACCTTATTTAAATATAAATAATTTTTATTTATTAACTAGAAAATAAAAAATAATGATAATATTTAATTACTTAGAATGACATAAATAATAGTTATGCAAAACACCTTGATAAACCATGATTTTTCTCTTAATATAAAAGCAAATAAAATAAAATAAAATAAAAGAAGAGAAAAGGGTGTAAAACGTGCAAACCCCTTGGAGCTATGTAAATGTCATGAAAAAACATCCTACTACAGAGTATAATTTTTAACTGTCAAAATTTTCATCTACGTCATACTTTTTCTTTTTAGTATGGCATAATCACAATGTAATTTGACAATTCATAATTGTATTTTATTTATATGATTTTTTATAGCTCTGTTCATTATGTTAGTTCGAATTATAATTTAAATTTTTGTTATAGTGTTTTTTCTTATAAAAAATTTAAAATTTTATTTTTTTTATTATAATATTTTGTCTCACGTGAATTAATATTTTAACTCAAATTATTAACTTAAACGAACAAATAACTTAAAAAGACGATTTTTTTTCCCTTCTGTGAAAACTTTTTTTTTTTTTTTTTTCTGTGCAAAGTGAAAATATTTTTCTGTTCCTTGGACAGTTGTGGCAAGCGTTGGCCAAGACACTATCAGAAAAGGCTGCTTGGGCTTTAGCCATGGACAGAGCGCTTAACATGGTTTCCATAAACGCTGGACTAGTTGTTGGCCCAGCTGTCGCTCAAGAAAACCCTCTCTCAACAATGTCTTATCTCAACGGTAAACATACTAATGCTATGTCTTTTTCAACTTCTGCCTTGATTTTCTGTTTTCCCATGGAGTAAATTTTTCATTTTTCTTTCACAAAGGAATAAAATAAAGATAAAATTTATTAAATGAAGACATATTAAGATAAAATTTATTAAATGAAGACATATCTATATTTTTTTAATTTAAATTGATACTTCACTCTAAAATTTATTAAATGTTAGTTCCGCCATTAACTTCAAATTTTCTTGCAGGAGCGGCTCAAATGTATGAAAATGGGGTGTTGGCACTTGTTGATGTGAACTTCCTAGCTGATGTTCATATACGAGCTTTTGAGGATCGATCAACATGTGGGAGGTACTTTTGCTTTGATCAGATAGTCAATACAGAAGAAGAAGCTGTTAAGCTTGCACACAGCTTGAGCCCTTTGATATCCCTGCCTCCTAGGTAAGAGTAACAAAACCCCAAAATTCTAAATGGCCTATGATTTTGCTCGTTTTATCAAAAAAAAAAAAAAAATGCTAACATCACACTTTCTGTTACTCTCTGCGTTCATTATTTGATACGTATATTCTATAAACATAATATATTAGTATTTAAACAGAAAATGAGATTGTAAAATTCACATGCCAAACAGTAAATGCAGGGAGTGAAAGAAAAATGCCCATCATTTCTTGTTTTATCGATCTGAAATGAGCTAAACATTGTGCTTTGATTTTACACAGGTATGAACGTCAAGGGAGTGAACGTCAAGGGAGGCTGAGAACCGAAAAATTAAACAAACTAGTTGAGAGCGCAGCTTGTCACTAGACCCTTTTTTTTTTTCTTTTTTTTTTAGGTCATGAACCTCACGGGTGTGCATATGACTTTATACTACTTTTCTCTTTCATCGGTGTGGCTAGAAAGTTTATAGAGTCCAAAATCCAATGTGTAATAGAAAAATCAAAGATAATAAATAACAATATAAATTTTAAGTACTACTGTTACTCTTTTATTGAAAAAAAAAAAAAAAAAGAAAAAGAAAAAGTACTACTGTTACTCCGCACAAAAAAGAAAGGAGAAAACAAGAAGAATTTTTGCTTTTTTTTTTTTGTTTTTTGGTGGACAAGGAGAATCTTGCTATTAATAATGAGTTATTGATGTTGACAATTTGGTGAAGAGTAAGGTCAGTGATGATTAGTAGGCTGTGTAACACCAAAGTGAAGCGCCTCACAAGTCATAACCACAAAGTCCTTATTGCCAGGAATGGATGGTGTCATCACCAAGACCTTCAAGTTCAACTCTCCATCATTACCAGCACCACCATTAGCAAGTTGTTGGCAAGATTCAAAGTCAATTTAGAACTAAAATCTAGAAATTAGCCTTCCTTTTGTCTTCTTGATGCTATCTCTGACGCCCATGCCTTGCCTAGTTCTGTCTGGAACTTCCCTGCGAAGTGTTTCCAATTTAACTTAGTTACGCAACCAAGAAAAAAAAAATCAAGTTTTTAGAAAGAGCAATATAATATCACTCTCGGTGATTGTTATCAAAAACCTTTTCAATTAATCACAAATTCACACGTGAACTCTGGGAGCCCATAACCCACACAGGGTCCCACAAAGTTGGTACATGTCAATCTTTTAAAAAAAAGTGATAACTAAAATAAAATAAAAGGAAGAAAAAACCAGGAGATTTTATTTATTTTTTTTTAATTTTATTACCAGCAGTTGACTGGAAAAATTCATCCAAGTCCTTTCCTTGCTCTGCATAAAGTCACCAATAAATTTAATTAATTTTCATGCTTGAAAAATGTTGCAAACCAGAGGGATTATTTATGGCTCACTAAGTTGATGCTAAAGATGCAAACATAAACACATCTATTTGACAAGTAATTAAAATTATAGCAACAAAATACAGTGAAACAATTATGTGACGTCCAAAAACCAACATATCACAAAGTACAAGGACCGTAATAAGTACTAAGATGGCTCTTAAGTCGTCAATATTGACCATAGAAGGCATATATTATACTACACAATACCAAATGAAATTGACCAAGAAACTTAGGTTACAGACTTACAGTCTACAAGAATAAGGCGAACAAAAGATAAACTTTTTATTTGTAACAATATTTGAAAATGCGGGCTCCATCAGAAATTATAATGAGTTTATCAATGCATCACGAGTAGAAACAAAGATTGGAATATGAGTTCATAAATGCATCACAAGTAGAAACAGAGATTGGAATATCTCTGTTCTGTAGTTTTATTCAAACAAGTAGCACCGTTCTTTTCAGGGGCTCAAGTGGAAAACTTGAGCTGAAATCCAAATTTTGGTGAAAGAAAACACTGTAGCAAAAAGATTAAATTGTAATTCGAACTGCGAAAAGAACGGGACTCTATCATTCAAAATCCCATGTTGCAAATATGAAACTTCTCTCACAAATTACAATACAGATCCTAATAAATGATGAAGGCATACATTATACTACACAATACCAAATGAAATTGACCAAGAAACTTAGGTTACAGACTTACAGTCTACAAGAATAAGGCGAACAGAAGATAAACTTTTTATTTGTAACAATATTTGAAAATGCGGGCTCCATCAGAAATTATAATGAGTTTATCAATGCATCACGAGTAGAAACAAAGATTGGAATATGAGTTCATAAATGCATCACAAGTAGAAACAGAGATTGGAATATCTCTGTTCTGTAGTTTTATTCAAACAAGTAGCACCGTTCTTTTCAGGGGCTCAAGTGGAAAACTTGAGCTGAAATCCAAATTTTGGTGAAAGAAAACACTGTAGCAAAAAGATTAAATTGTAATTCGAACTGCGAAAAGAACGGGACTCTATCATTCAAAATCCCATGTTGCAAATATGAAACTTCTCTCACAAATTACAATACAGATCCTAATAAATGATCTACAGATATTTAACCCTCGTTTGTTTCACTGGTTTAGCTCAGTTCAACTCAGTTTGAACAGTGAGCACAGTTTAAACCCCCGTTTGGTAAGCACGCAGTCCGAATTATATTTCCCTGTTTCGACTAAATTAAACTGTTCAACTTAGAATTTAGCTCCCCCTTAAGTTCAATCGTTTAATGTAATTCGAACTGCGAAAAGAACGGGACTCTATCATTCAAAATCCCATGTTGCAAATATGAAATTTCTCTCACAAATTACAATACAGATCCTAATAAATGATCTACAGATATTTAACCCCCGTTTGTTTCACTGGTTTAGCTCAGTTCAACTCAATTTGAACAGTGAGCACAGTTTAAACCCCCGTTTGGTAAGCACGCAGTCCGAATTATATTTCCCTGTTTCGACTAAATTAAACTGTTCAACTTAGAATTTAGCTCCCCCTTAAGTTCAATCGTTTAAACTATTTTTGAACAATAAAAATGCGCCCACTCTCTGCTTTTCACACTTATCAAACACAAATTCGAATTTTATTCCCTGTTCAGATTAAAATTTTAACTGCACATCCAAACGCCAATTCGAACTACAATTTAAATCATACAATTTGAATTTTTCTGTTCAAACAAAAAAGTTCAAATAAACAAAATTCAAACTAACCAAACGGGGGCTTAGTATATGCATGCAACTCTGTTCTAATACAAAATAAATTATCAACAAAAGAAGGGCTTACCACTTTCATATTCCAATGCTTGAAGTATCATCTCCACCTGGAAAGGGCAAAAAATCATATAACAAGAATCAAAGATAATCCAACATACACATCAAGTTTAGAGATGATTATATTAAGGGCTTAAATATGCATGGCATGCTGACTATATAATACGGCCCAAAGTCAAGTTGTACGCCTTTTATTTTTTGTTTGTGAAAGTGAGCAAAGCGTTTAATTATTTTGTCCCAGATGCAGCTTCCAACTACACCTCCCAAATTAGGGGGAAAAGAATCAAGGATCTTCAAACTACCCAACTTACAAACTTTGCAAAGCTGACATGAATAGGGTATATTTTCCAGCAGCTTCGGCATAGTACCAATAGTACCCCGATGCTCGGATGCTTGAAATAATTTTTTTAAGCTATATGGATCCCATTATACAAATTTTATTCCTGTGCTATCAAAATTGTGAATAGAGAAAAAGAAAATGAACCAGTCTGTAAAACAGGTTTATACTTAGGCAAGTAGCTAGTAGTCATTGTACAAAGTACTATGCAACTGAAAAGCATATTTTCAAGACAAAAAATCTATCTTCATAAGGAGTGTAAAACCTTTTGGTCATTATCATAGTGACACACAAAAATAGTAACGATAGTTTAAAAGGAGCATTAGGCGAGACAAGAGAAACAAATTTGTTACATACTTTGTCAAAGTCCTTGACAACTTTAGCTTCCGGGGGTCTGTAAAACAGGTTTATACTTAGGCAAGTAGCTAGTAGTCATTGTACAAAGTACTATGCAATTGAAAAGCATATTTTCAAGACAAAAAATCTATCTTCATAAGGAGTGTAAAACCTTTTGGTCATTATTATAGTGACACACAAAAATAGTAACGATAGTTTAAAAGGAGCATTAGACGAGACGAGAGAAACAAATTTGTTACATACTTTGTCAAAGTCCTTGACAACTTTAGCTTCCGGGGAAGAATTCTCCTCATACTCTGTCCACAATTCAGCTATCTCCTTAGCTGACAAAAATTTGCTAATTAGATAAACGCAATCAGAAGATAATAAACAATTAATGCCTGTCCGGTTGAATAACAAGTGATTCTGATGAGAGACTTTGTAGCAAATGAAGTACCTCTAGACCCTCCACCAAGTAATTTGCACATGTTGTCTAATGCTTCCCTTTCTCGCCGACTCTTCTCAGTCTTCGAGATCCCATCGGCAGGGGTAATGTCCCCAACAATGGCTATTCAGAGAAATTAAAGATAAAAGACAACAACTTGTAACTTGAACTCGAAAATATTCAACAACCAAAATAAAAAATAAAAAAAAACACAAGCACAAACTTGATAATGCATTAAAGAACAGCACAATTGCGTCCTAACTAACTAATTAAATTACGCAACCGTCTATGGACAGTGGATCCTAATAAAGAAAATAACATTTTATAAGAAAAGTAAAACAAAAAGGCAAAAGACAATAACTAACATAGACAATAAGGATTCTTGTTATAAGTTAAAGGATGAAAATGACGTATCTCAATGATCATGGTTCCATCTAAAGATGTAACATACTATTCAAAATGTTTTTTTTTTTTTTTTACCAAAGACAACAACTTGTAACTTGAACTCGAAAATATTCAACAACCAAAAAAAAAAAAGAAAAAAAAAACACATGCACAAACTTGATAATGCATTAAAGAACAGCACAATTGCGTCCTAACTAACTAATTAAATTACGCAACTGTCTATGGACAGTGGATCCTAATAAAGAAAGTAACATTTTATAAGAAAAGTAAAACAAAAAGGCAAAAGACAATAACTAACATAGACAATAAGGATTCTTGTTATAAGTTAAAAGGATGAAAATGACGTATCTCAATGATCATGGTTCCATCTAAAGATGTAACATACTATTCAAAATGTTTTTTTTTTTTTTTTACCAAGTAATTTCAATTCAAAGCTAACATAAGTTATCAACAAATTAGAAATTAGAATTCCAAAATGCTTAAACAAATTAATTCGACTTACTATATTTTTTTTCAATAAATTATCAGAGAAAACTGATGGATTACTAATGATAAAACAGAATATCTATATAAAGCGGTGAAAAATTGTTTATTTGGTCTAAAATTCCCATCATCCAAACAAAAAAAAAAAAGAAATTTGTTCTCACCTTCCGCAATATCATGAACGATAGCCATTTTCATACACCTGAAAAAAACAAATCTCAAAAAACAGTAGAAAAAAAGAAGAAAAGAAGAAAAAAAAGAAAACAGTGAGAGCTGAAAAGGCAAGACAAAGTAAAGAAAAATCCTAACCTGTCACGGTCGACACCGGGAATATCCGAAGCAATGAGAGCCATGAGTCCCATTCGATACATATGATCCGCAACAGATTCTGGATCCTTCACGTCTCTTCTCACCCATCCCGCTCTCTTCGTCGTCTTAACTCGCAACAGAAAAATCACAAAAATTTCCCATTATCCTTCCCGCATTTTCTCGGCATCCAAACACAAAATCGAAAGGCAAAATAACATCTTTCTGTTCGTTTCGTCTTACCTTGAGTCGGTGACAGAGAGAGAGAAAATCAATCGCACCGGAAACAGACGAAGAAGAAGATGATGATGATGATGGAGCAGGAGGAGTGATAGCGTCACCGCTTGTGAGCGGTGACGGCGAGGAGGATGCTTCCGTGGCCATACTATGATGGTCGTGGTGGTTGGGGGACGGAGTGTGGGCTGTGACGGACTTGAATCTGAGATGAGAGGTAGAAGAAGAAAGTGTGGGCATTAAGAAGACAAACGACGACGATTTACATAGCCACGCTCGGCTCACCGAACCCATTTTTTCCTCTTTTTTTTTCGTTCTTTTTTTTTTTTTTCTCCCTTCTTCTTTGTTTATTTATTTTTTATATATTTTATTTTTGCGCTACAAATTTTGGGTATTTTTTGTAGGGGCTTTTTGAGGTCAAAAGATGCGGTATATGCTATGGAATTATGTGGTTAAATCTGGGTCGTACACGTCAGATTGGGACATGAGAATGTGGGCCCCATGTTTCATAGGGTAGACAGTGCCATGCAAAAGTGGAGTTTATTGTAAATGTCATCACATGAGACAACGACTCGTCGTTTGGCGTTGCAAGCTTGTTGCCGTGTATAGGCAGGACGAATCGCTTTCGTTTTAAATTTCTGTCGTTTGGAATATCAAACGGCATGTCGTTCTGGATCAATGTTTTTATTTTAAACCTTCTTTAGATGATCAAACGACTTATGTTTGAATATTTACTTGCCTCTAGTTACATTAAACGGGGTATCTTAAAAAAAAAAATGGTTTTTAGCGCAATTAGCTTAGTAAATTATCCACTAAACTTTTAATTTTGACAATCAACTCCTCAAACTTATTTAACTGTTACAATTAAATCAATTTGGCTAACGGTATTAAATTTTGGATGGATTTAGCCATGTGAGCTTCACGTGCGGTTTTTGAAGGGTATTATTATTATTTTGTCTGAAGGTGTGATCGCAGCAAGTTATAGACAATTTCTGAATAAGGCTTTAAGATTTTTAAATTGGGCCAAAACAAACTTAAATTTGAAATGGAAGCCTTAAGAGAAATATGAATAAATACCCTTTAAAATATATGGGTTTCAATTTTTAACTCTTACTCTTAATTAATACATGTTAAATAACCATATTAATAACATAGTATTAATTAAGAATAAGGAATGAAAATTTAGACACATACACTTTTAAACACTTTTAAGAATAAGTTTAATAATTTTTTCAAGCCCGCTTAATTAACCCATTATTCCCTATCACTTCAGCAACCAAAAAAAGGGAAGCTTCTAGGGTAGGAATTGTCTTTCTTTCATAAGAATAATTGTTTGTGAGCTAAAAGATGCAATGCATGATACATAATCATTTCTAATCATATAATCAAACAGTTCAGAGCAATATATATATATATATATATATATAAATAATTAAAAAGTTACTATAACAGCAGTGCCTACCAATAAAGAAAAAAAAGATAATTCTTATCATAACAATTTACCAAAAAGAAAAAGAAAAATGACTTATACTTTTGCATTGTACTAATTGTTGTGAAAAGTAGGTTTTTCTTCTGGAGAATTTAGCAAATTCTGTTCTATAGATGAAGCACCACACATGGTAGATACTTGTACAACAATCATTGTTACAAAAAGAAGTTATGTCTTATACGTACAAAAGACATATAGTCTCCTTTCGATTCATAATTTTGAGTGGCAATTCAAATCTTTTTAATATAGTATTTCACTTAGAAAAATTTAAATTTCTATTTAAATTTTTTTGTTTAAATCTATGAACCATCCTGGCCAATAAACACAATTTTAAGGGGTTGTTTAGAAGTTATATATACTTAAACTCAAATCATGATTCTACTATACAGTATTTTTTTATCTCACAAAAAATTTAAATTTTAAAATTTCCTCTCTTATAAAGTTTCTGCCGATTAATCTAAATCATGATTTGAGTAAATGTTGCGTGAACAATAATAATCATGAGGGCCTGCTACAAGAAAGATAGAATATTGATTTGGTTATATGATTTCTGACAAAAAAATGTCAGCATAGGTGATTGTTCTTAGGGGGAAAAAAGAACAGAAAATACAAATGATTTCAACTAAGAAAAGTAGGCATAAAATTATATATATATATATATATATATGATATTAATTTGGAGCAGTAGCTAATAATATGCCACATGTTCTATCTATTATTATTTGTATGCCTTAATCAGGCGATATGGACGATCCATAAAACATGCAGGCCATAGACTGCATCATCTAACCTATCTATTGTTGTTTTCACGTGGACGTTACTGGTAGAAAATTATAATGCAATTATTGGAAACGAAAAAATTATTATATATTTTTGTTCATTGAAAAAAGAGCCTGTACGCGATAACATGATAAAATCTGGAAAATTTTTAAGAGATGCGATTGTTTTTAATCTCATTTGTTCAATGCCTAAATTTTAAGCTAAAAAAGAAATGTACCGTAGTTATTAAAAAATCTTAATTATGGCTTGACAATTTGATTAAGGGAGATAAAAGAAAATGACAAAATAAGAACAAAGTGAACGTTTGGTTCATGAATTCAGAATCATGATTCAGAACTATTTTCGTTTTACGTGTATTTTTTTAAAAAAAATACTGTAAAGAGCTATAAATCATAATTTAAAATTAAAGATGAATACATGAAACAAACGTCCCGTTAAAAGTATAGTTGAGTAACGAGTGTCTATAGAAGTACTCCTAAGTAAAGAAATAAACGGAAAAGTATTTGTTAGCAATCTTGAAATCATCTTATTAGAGCCCAAAGATAGTGACAATATTGTTGAGTGTTCTGAATTAACAGGTGGAGTGTTTTGGATCAGTCACTATTTATTATTGTGGATGCATTAATTATAAATGCCGGACAATGCAAGATACATATTTATAACACAAAAGGACAAAGAGCATTGTTAATCGATGAGGTGAATAATAGTCATATAGTACGTTCTTATCTTCCATTTATAGCTCCAATATTTAACTTTGTAAGGATCTTATGATCACCACGTGTGAATTGATTTTTAACAAAAAGAGCATGATAAAAATATACACACACTCACTAGTAGTTAATCAACTCCATCTTCTTCTTCTTGTGTTCTAAACTTGGTATGAGTATCAAGATATTGGACGAATTTTTAATTGTTACGTTTCTATCGGTCATTATTCATCAAATAATGAAATTTGATGATATAACATGATAAGAGTCTCTCATATTTATGTCACAATAATAAAATAATAATACCCGAAATTAAATAAATATTAGAGTAATCATTAAAATTAATCATCGTAAAATATTATGCCCATGGAAATATGACTGCTAGACGAACAAGTTTCTGATCTTACCCATTCAATGTTTAATGAGCCAAATACATGTCCGGGACAAACCTCATAATTGAAGTACTTGTTACATGGAAGATATTAGATATATTCCTGACCTGCATTACATTCTTTATCAAAATACTCTCCATTCTCCATATAAAAAAATAAAAAATAAAACAGAAATACTAGTGTTCATTATTCAGCAAATATATATATATATATATATATATATATATATATAGACAATAAGGCTAAAGCATATTCTACGAGTAAATCTACACGTACACATGGAAGATATTAGATATTTTCCTGACCTGTATTACAATCTTTATCAAAATACTCTCCCTTCTCCATATAAAAAAATATAAAAAATAAAACAGAAATACTAGTGTTCATTATTCAGCAAATATATATATATATATATATATATATATATAGACACACACTAGTGTTCATGAAACGCTGCACCACTTCAATAGCCCGATATGCGTGGTGTGGCTAATTAACAGAGAAATGAGATAAGTACCTATTAGAATATATAAATCTGAATTTTTATATGTTTTTATAAGTTGAATCCGTATCACAAACGAAACATAGCCTAAGCAAATTACACAACACTAGTATGACTGGTTTTAAAATATAAACTATGCATATTGTTGGGATTTGTTTCCCAAATTCTGTATTGATTCTAATCGTTTTATGATTGGCATTATTTTGGAAATGATTGGTTAGTTAATTGTGTTTGAGAATAGATGTGCAGCTGACAAGCTCTTTATGGAAGGTTTCTGTAAGAATCTGGAAACTTAATTCAGTTACTGTTTTTGAAAAGTCAACTATTCATCCTAAGATGGTAAATTATTAATTGGTGATTTGATTGATATTTGATTGAGTTTTCGCAGCTGGATGATCTTCCTCTGTCTCCTAAGAATGTGTCCAGGTTCATATATCAGTTTCAGAAAGGTTTCAGAATTAAAGCAGATTGATTCAGATTAGTTTTGAGAAAGTCGACCTTGACAGTTATGTTGTAGTTATTGTTGCAATAAGAATCTGCAACAGATTTGGTTCAACAAATTAATTGAAAAGATCGTCAAGCTGTTATCATTTTTGCTTATTTATTCAAAAAGTCTCTTGTATCTATGTACACCTTTTGATTAGTTTTACTGGGTTGTGAGAGAGGTGAGCACTTGTATTCAAGAGAGATGATTTGAGTGTTTTTGAGAGAGAAAAACTTAGTTGGAGGGATTTCAATGTTAAAAAGTTGAGGGGGTCTCGTTGTTCAAGTCCATTGGGAAATTACAAGTTCATAGGCGTCTTCTTAAAGAGGGAGTTTCGGGTAGATTAAATCCAATTGAATTGTAAAAGAGTTCTTAGTGGATGGTTTATCATATGGGCGTTGCCCCGCGGAGTAGGTTGTGACCGAACCGCGATACCATTTCTCTCGTGTTCTTTTATTTTACGTCTCTGCATTATTTCTATTGTCTTACAAATTATTAAAAGACTCAAACCAGTACCAACAATTGGTATCAGAGCAGGTCACTGACGTGTATTTCGGTGAGGTCTTGGTGTACTGGTTGATTTTGCAGGAATGGATGTCATGAGAGAAGGGGGATTTGTGAACAAACCACCGTTTCTAGAAGGTGTCAATTACCCCTATTGGAAGGCTCGCATGAAAGTTTTCATTAAAGCTATTGATGAGAAGGCATGGCGATCTGTCTTAACCGGATGGATTCATCTAACAACTAAAGATGATAAAGGCAATACCGTCCCTAAGCCAGAAGAGGAATGGTCTGACGATGAGGACAAGCTAGCAAATCGTAATTCAAAAGCATTGAACGCCATTTTCAACGCTATGGATGTTAATCAATTCAAATTGATTTCCACATGTAAGTCTGTTAAAGAAGCGTGGGATATTCTTCGAACTGCACATGAAGGTACAAATGATGTGAAGTCTTTAAAACTTCAAATCCTCACAACCCGTTTTGAGCGTTTGCAT